AGTACTTTCTACAAAATACGTTGTTAATGTCTTGGAAACTAACCACACTCCACAGGTAAAATATAACCTCGCACCTAATTCTAATTTGCTCCAAACCTTATTTCAGTGAGGTTTGTTTTAATTCGTGTTAATTTTTATATGAAATACATTTGAAATCAAGCTTTTCAAACATTATCTTAATTTATCACAACCAGCAGTAGGGAAGCTACTTGTTGACCCACATTGAATATCATCTACTTAAGATAGATGAACGTGAAAATTGTATCTGTCTTCCTAAGAAGAATTAAGTTATATTCATACCTACTCTACTATTCTTTAAGCCGTATTTTTACATTTTAAACCCAATATATTTAGTTGTATGGTCAAAATAAGGCTCTAGTGCACTGTTGTACTTAGCTTTCTAAATTGTAATTTTTAATAAATTGTATATGCAGTTAAAAGAATGAATGACGCGTATCTCAACACTAAATGGCCACTTGAAAATGAACTTCCATCTTGAGTATTATCATTGACTATATATAACTATATATATTTAATTGTTGTAAAAAGACAATAACTCCTAATCCAATTTACAACCAATAATCGTCAACTTATGAAATACTGTCCACAGAGCCTTGTTCTATTATGTGACAATAGCTGGTAACTTACATTACATTCAACATTTCAACATTATAACAATATTTATTTTTGCCTCTTCAATATTTTCTCTAAATAAATTTATCAGTATTTTTTACTAAAAGACAATACATGAAGTGTGTTTAAAACTTCATGCAATGTTTGGAACATTTTCAATTATCTGTCACACTTATATTAAAAAGCTTTGTTGAATCAAGCCTGAGGTTGAAATGGTCGGTATGTTTTTCCATAGTTGTAAAGATGAGCTGTAACGCTTTTCTGACCTTGATCCAAAAACTCACTGCAATGATTGTGAATGGAAACTCGTATTACTGCAATTGGAGCATGAGGTACAGTTTCAACTGATAAGGCAGTGCAACTTCTAGCCGAGATGTTGAAATGCTACTGGTTTAACAAGCTTAACATAGCTGATTTAACGTGAACTGATTTTATTTAAACATTTATATTTTTTTAGATAATTTCCCTCTGGGGAAGTAGCTATTACCGTAGGTGGCCAGTAGGACCTAGACCCGGGACCTATTTAATTTGTCATTTCTATGTGTCCAGAGTTCAAAAGTACTATTCGTTAGAGTGTATAGATATTTATATTAATATCCCTTATATATACGTCTGTGAACGCGATAACTTGAGCGATTTGGTCCGATTTAGATTAAATTAGGCTCGAAGGTGTAGGGTAGGATAAACTTGAATGAGTTCGCGAATCAGCAAGAACGGGTCTCGACAACGAAATATTATGGAGTTAAAAATTTTCAAAAATCGGGTTTTCTAAAAATTTTCTCGAAACTTGGAAATGCCCAATTTTCATTACAAACATAGTGTAGAGTTTAAAAAAAAAACAAACAATTTTGTATATTGAAGTGTTGTACATTAAAGGTAACGGGAAAAACAGTACATTTTAATTCTAATGTTATTTAACTAAACTAGTGTTAACTTAATGGGAATAAATTGTCTTGTTTATGGAAATTCGAGTAAAAATCCAATCACACAGTTTGAAATTCGATTAGTCTGTAAGTTTGCTGTGGCGGGGGTTTGAATTTCAGTCTTTAAAATCATGTTTACAAAAATCTAATGTGCAAAGTGGATTATATCTTTCTACTGAGTTGATATTAGTTTGTACATTTTTGCTATATACCATCTGTACATTAGGGACGCTATGCTCTAACCCGGCACACATTACTTCTGGCTAGTCTTAGAGGGTCGTGGAATATCACATGGATAAAATCCATTGGTGATTGGCGGGATTTGGACCCAGAAACTCGGGGGCCGAAGCACCGCGCTCTACCACTAAACCAGTTCGCTCCCCATTCGTTGGTATAGTAATAATAATTGGCTATATATACAATAATGCCTTTCATAAGTACAAATAACATAGATTTGTCGTCGTTAGGTAAAACAACGGGTATGATTAGAAGGAATCCTAGAAATTCCTTGCTTGGTAAATTATGGATAATCACATAAACATTTATTCACCATTGTTTTCAATATAATTAAATTCTATTAACTTGAACAGACGTTACAACATCGTGATTTAATTTTCTTTTTTCGCAATTGAGTCGCTGTATTGTGAAACTGTTCTGTTATTTTTCCTTAGCTATCATGCATACCTGAAACTTCACAGAAAGTATGTCTATTATTTTATTTAGTTTGCAATGTTCACAATATAAAAAAAATATTAGTACTTAACATTAAGTCTACGCTTCGTGGAATAAAATTTAAATTGTATTTTTTATAACATTTTCGCTTGTTAGCCATTTACAACTGATTAATTTTGTGACTGTTGTAACATTTACAGTAATATGTGTTATCTGTATATGGATTGATTAAACTTTTAAAATAACTTATTTGACGTTCTAAAGATATTTAAAGTCTTTCTTTTTAACTACTTTCTTGAAATATATTATTGCATTATTACAAGTATTGCTGTTCTCGTTTTTATTATTTAAATGCTAAGTAATAAAACACTATTTTGAATAAAAAATAGTTTTAATAAAAATTAATACTTTTTAATGGTTTAAGGATTTTTTGTCAACAAGAGCTCTTCAAATTTCTATGGTATGCCTATTGGTTTCGTTGGATAGTGTGGATCATTTAAGAGGTAAGTATTATTTCCGAATAAGTTCATTTTCAAAAAAAAATTGTGCAGCGTCCGGATGACTGTTTAATACATTAAAACGGTTTAAAGAATCAACATAAAGTAATCGTTTTAACTAATCCTTACAACTTTACTCTTCAAAAAACTTAAAGGAAAATCGCTAGATCAAGCATATACTACCTAGTATTTTCTCGAAATAACAAATAAAATACAGTTAAATCTACTAACATAGTTGACTAACGTGTGGTGGTTAGTATAAATGTGCATTGCTTTATTTTAATGAATTGATTTAAAACTATTTCTAGGAAAACTATAGTCTATACTATTATATAAAAATCTAGTGGTGTCTGTCTGTATGTGTGTTACTAATAGGCACATAAACTACTGAACTGACTGGGCTTAAATTTTACAAAAGTATAGCTACCATACCAAGGACCATTATAGGACTATTCACACTTTGATACTGACCGTGGGCTTTGCCCCTTTGGCTTTAAAAGTTCTGAGGTGAGGATTTTAAAAGTAAATATTGATTGGTCTCCATGGCTGCCATTAAAACACACACAATGTTTACAATTTTCTATCCCACCCAAATGTAAATAAGCTGAACTGTCAAACCACATTAATTTACAATTCCACAGCTGGTTTATAAATAGGCATATAATATTCTCTACAATCATGTGACATGTTTATTTATTCTTATATTTGATGGTTCATTGATTATTGGTTTCATGAAATAAGTAAGATTGTATATCTGGTGTTGTATCTAACCCTAATTAATTATTTAAAATTTTGCTAATGTGAATGATTGTATTGAAAGATTTTGGTGTGAAAAATAGTAAAATTATAAAGTCACATTTACTTGAATCATTTTAACATTTTTGAACACTTAAATTGTGTTTAGAGTAGGGCACACACACCTTAAAAATTGAAACTTTTTTCTCAAGGAGATAATTAATTGTACATTTTTTCCATTTTGAGAGAAATATTGTTCACGCCATTTGCCTTTTTACACATTTTAAAATAATAATTTCATATTCCTAATTACTACCTATAGTAGTGATCTTTTCTAATCCAGTGGTAGCTACTGGTATAACTTTTGACACTTCCTGTAGATTTCACATTCTATTCTCATAATGAATAACTTTTTACGAGCCTTCCATGGTAATTACATGTAAATTTTCAACCAAGTTCCTCTTAACTTAACCGACCCTTGACATAAACATTGTTTGAATGGCGTTAAATTTCCTAATTCTAAGCTATATACAAATATTTCAATTTAAAAAGAACAATAAAAAAACTAAGTTTTATATGCACTTGCCTTTGGTACATGAACAGTAGGAGTTATAAATAATAGGGCTAAGTATGTTTCTGTACTGTTTTAATAGTAAGAGGGTTAATGTTTTTGTTTGCTCACATAGTATATAATGCGATATTTTTGTAATCAATGCTTAGTGAGCAATGCTTTTTAGAAACAAGATCACATGTTTAATTTAATTCAACCCGTAATATTAACCAGATGTTGTAAATTATTGTTTGTCTATGTTTGATTTTATCATTTAAAAGTAAGTAAAAGCTTTGAGTTTTTTTTTATTTGTTTTATTGTTTGAAAATGTTTTTTTATGTAATTAGTAAGTTAATAGTTTTTGATAGGTACATTTATTGGAATTTAATCTTATTTTACTCTTTTTTCATGTCAGATTTCAAAAAGCACCATTTAAACATACATCAACCCCGGACGAAGGACGGGTCCTCTGCTAGTATTATAAAAAAAATACTATTATTTACTGTCCGTTCCTATTAGTGATCCGACTTTTTACCGTTTATGCATGAAATTTTAGCATTGTCTACGGTACATTATATAGCCCAAGGTTAAAAACTATTCTTAATTTATGGAAAAATTTTTAACAGTTTTTAGGTAATCCGTAAACTATTTTTGAAATTCGTACGAAGAAAACTATTAATTATAGGACTTTAAAACTTGTATACAATATTACTTGGTAACTTTTTTTGTAGTGACACAAGTTTTGTGGGAATATTAAAAACCTAAATTTGTGCAAGATGTTTATGCTGGAATCCAAGTACTATATAAACTAATACAATACATTTAAATAAATCTAAAAAGATGTTAAACCGATGCTGGGCCCGATAAGATTTTCCATTTGATCAAATACTATATCAGACAACACGTTACAACAAATCCAGGGTTTGGACCATTCCCAAAAAACCTAAAATGTTAACATCGTAATCACAAGTAGACAAAAAAATTACTCACTCCTCAATAAGTCGCGGAGTTTTTCCAAAGCCTCTTCTTTACGCTCCGGAGTTTCCCTGAGCTCCTGTAAGGCTCGTTGTTCGAACGACTCCCCCAGCTCCGGACCATCCTCGAACTTCAGGGTGTACTCTCCCATGTGGATACACTTTACCTCCATGGTGCTGGGTGCTTCGCCTCGCTGGCTCCGGGTGTCCGCACACTACTGACTGCCTCCGCCGTCAGTGACTCCCCCTCCGTCGCGGCCTTCCGAGGTCACAAGGTTGACTCATTCGTAAACATCGCGGACGCCCCTGCAAAAGCAAAAGTCGTGAAGATCGTAGATGAGTTTGTATTTTGTTTGTTATTTTAGACGGGAGTTGTGAGGGAAAAGTTTTAATGGTTTGTAAAGTTTACTTTTATGGTTGTATGCCTTTAGTATGATGTACTAGCTGCTATACTCGTGTTTCGACACGGGGGTGGGATACAAGAAAGAAAATAATTCTGCTTTTTCAGATCTTCTGTATGGAATAGTTACACATATATTGTATACTTATTGTACTTACCACCTATTGTAATAAAATAATTTCATTACAATTCATTTAATTCCCTAAAATATTTACTTTTCTATAACTAAACATAACCCTCTTAGTAAATAACACACGTTTCCATCATTATCAAAAACCTTTTCAAGCAAATAAACAAACAGCTGTTAAGTGCAAAGACCAGCTGTTATTCATTTAACTAATTAAAAAAATATATAAACATCAAAGCATGTAATTCGAAGCCCTTTGGAAACCGGGCTGTAGGACAGGGTCCTTATAGAATTCGTTGATACAAAGAGTTTTTAGCAAATCTACACACTCCAAACTTCATTTTGATATGCCATATGCCTACATTTTTAATTGGTTAATGGTCTTAAACGATGATCACAAATTTGACTGTATCACTATATAAATATAACAAATTTCCATATAAAACTGAATTTTCAACTGTAACGTTTTTGCATATCTGTGAATGGAACAAAACTGTTTTGATTGATAAATGAAAATTGAGGAAAGTTATACTAAACATTCACAAACATTTTTGGGTTTTGTGGCGCGTTATTTCGTTTAATTTTTTTATTTTTAAATGAGAACCTTATAACGAGACTGTTTTGAACGAATTTGTGAAGTTAAAAATATCTATAATATTAAAACGAAACAGGGTTTTTTATTTCACGATTCTGAATCAACTACTCGACGGATTTTCATGATTTTTGTGTTGAAAGAAAGATAATTTTGAGAACTAGGGAATGTCGAAGCCATAATTTTAGTTTAGGGTCCCAGTTATTTAGAAATTAACTTTTAATTTTTGAAAAGTCTAGCAGCCGACGCTAAGATTCTAAACTAGCTTTTGGTATAATATAATTTGCTTAGCATAACAGCTGTAAACATTCAGCGTTTGTAACACAAATTCAGCATTTGGATCAAATTAAAAGACATACTAAGGGTTGACTTATTTATACTATGTGCAATGCTAATCATTGATACGTTCAATCCTTCGATAAGAGGATGACGGATTATTTAAATATACATAGTAAAATACTAGGATGTTCAAATTACTTTTTTAAGTAATCTTTGTAATCTTCGGTTTGTTTTAGTGCAATATAATTTGTTTTAACTAACATCTGGTTAATTATAAAAATGCCCTATAGAACTACTGTATGAGGTTATTTAATCTGATTTTGTCATTGATTATAGGAAATAAGTAAGATTAGTAGACCACCGAGATAAGTAACACCATCGATGTGTACAAGTCGAGGCTCTGTACACGAGTTGAAAAAAATTAATATGCAAATTATTTTACTCCTCAACTTTTATGGAAAGGGTAAGAAAATCACAATTTTTACATGTTTTAATTCATCTTGGCATGTGACGGGCCTAAAATATCCCATATAAATTTTAAAATTGTTAAAAGAGTGTGGAACTATTTTTTAACGAGTAGGCCAGAGGGCGCATGAATACTAGTACTGATTAATAGTTATTTCGTAGTAGTTGGACATAGTTGGACTTTTTGAGAGTAAAACGTCATTTATCCATACTTATGACATAAAATATTTTACAAAATCTACAATAAAATTTTGATTTTAATGTGATATTGGGTATTTTGTTGGTTACTCTCGGGAGAATTTTTCAACTTAAAAGATTCGGAAGCAAGACACTTTTTACTGGTTTACTAGGTTGATATTTTCACTAGCTCACTAGAATCACCAACTTTACTCAAGTTTACTTCCATAAGATCATTCATTGTATTTTGTTGTTTTGTTTATTTCATCACAGTTTTAACACATTACAATCTTATGAGTATATTTTACATTACATTAGAAACTATAGACTATTGTACGACGCTGACTCACCAATAAGTTAAGGATGAATAATAAATGAGTGAAATAGCTTTGTTGATGACTAAGACCAGCTGATTCATTATTAACATCTAAATTATAAAACAAAAACACAGCTGGTTCCAGTTTCAAATAAGACATTTAGTGGGTTTGTACCTTGTTGTGTAGGTAGTTTGTTTTTTAAGTACTTTTGACAAGACTCAATATTTCATATACTCTCTAGTAACAATATTTCAAAAGAAGACAATTTTTTATGTAACCTTTATTAATTGGGCTGTAAAGTATTCTTTTCGTTACACCCATAAGGTAAATATTTAACAGGATGCATATGTGGGAGTGGAAGGACATTTGTATGAGTAAGGTTTGCAAACATTTACTATTTAATATTGGTTTGAGTGTTCGTTTTGTTGGCTTCATGAGTAATAAATGTTGCAATAATATGAACTCACCATAGCTGCTAGCCGGTTGTTCCTAAATAATGTAGACTAATCTTAACGTAAAACGGGTTGATATTTAAAATGACATTAATTTGACTTGACTTCTAAGAAACCTCTAAAAAAATGGTAAATGGGGGTCCACCAAAATATGATACTTCAAAAAATGTTCTAAATTATATTTTTTTTGTATTTTTTAGTTACGCTTTAGAATCCGGTAGATCAAATGACGTAACACTTTAATATCAACCCAAAGTGGAAGTTATTTCATTAAACTAAGAAATTCTTGTTTGTACCCAAAGATTTATGTTTACGATAAATATTCAAAGTTCATGAAACATCTTCAGTTTTTATACGTAGAAAGGGAAATGTCTAGACTGTTGAATAACAGGTCACATCTCCATTAGCATAGAAACTGCGAGCAGAAACATCCACATGTCCCCTCTTTAGGTCATAGAAGCCACTAGGTTCTACTGGCGTTCTGTGTTTAGTTGATATAGAAGCAGAAAACAAATCTACCTGTCCCCTCTTTAGGTCTTAGGAGCCACTGAGTTCTACTGTCGTTCTGTGTTTAGTTGATATAGAAACTGTGAACAGAAACTCCTCTTTAGGTTATAGAAGCCACTAGGTTCTACTGTCGTTCTGTGTTTAGTTGATATAGAAGCAGAAAATATATATCCCAATATATCATCTTTAGTAGACATAACCAATCATGGATTAAAAGAAGTAGACATATGTCTATGCTCCTTTTATCTATGACACAATGTAGTAGCCACTAGGTGCTAATGTCGTTATATGTTTATTCGATCTTGACACATCAAACAACACAAAATATTGAATTCAATTCAACAAGGTCTGATCTTACTCAATGTTTGGTTGATGAAGAAACTTCAGATTCAAAACATTGATATGTTACCTTTTTAGGTCATGGGTCATCCTAGATTCTACTGTCACTCTATGTTTAGTTGTTAATACTGCGAAATCCCGCGTATCCCCTATTTAGGTTATAGGATCTGCTTTCGCTTTGTTACTGTTGCAAATTAAAATCATCCACCCACTTCGATCGTGGGATCTGTTTGGTTAGCTTCCTCTAAAACACTTAAATAATCCCTCTTAAATCTTTAGAGTTTGATAGATTATAACATCAACTTCTACTGTCGTTTTACCAGTTCATGTAGGTAGGCTGATTTACATTTATAGATTACTCTCCTAAAAGTTAGTCTCGGAGAAAATCTGATTTTACCTATCTGGACAATAGAATACTGCTGTTCAACGTTCAGTTGGCGAGCTAGTTGATAGAAAGTATGACTTCTATCAAGGAGGCCTTGGGTTCAAACCCGTTCATCACAAATGGTAATTTTCTTTGGGATAAACCATCGTCCCAAAAGTTGTTGGGTCTCTTATGGATGTTGATTTTGGCTTTTATGCGGATTTTTATTATTATTATTATTGCCTATATAATTTTGTATGGTATACTAATATACTTATTTGGCATTTTTAACGTTTTTGAAAAGGTACGGTCTAAAACCTTGTCTTGTTACTTTCTAACGTCGACCTAATGTTGGATAGCATAATTAATTGAACAATAACAAAATGATATCTTGGTATAGAAACGATCTAGCTTGGAATCGAAGCAGAGACCTTCAGATTTGATATTAAACATATTAACCACCCGGCTACTGAGACAATTAATACTTTAATACTTTTCATTGAAATGGCGACCATACAAAGTACCTATTTTAAGCCAAGTATGAATAGAGATGAGTGTAGTATGAGAACCAAGAGACCTACAGTTTATAGTGGAAAACGAACCACATTTGCCTTGGTATTAACGAATCGGCCTAATTATCAGGACAGTACTGCAGATAGTCGTAGTACTCACTAGTGCTGTTAATAAGTGTTAAAGTGTTGTAGTGATGTTAATCCACACCAGGGAGTATCGCATCCACAGTACATACCTATAAATATCCACAATTTGTAACCTCCTAGTAGCTGGATTGCAGGACGACGCCACCCATTAGTAATTATGATCAAAACAAAGCGTTAATTGGTTGTTATTTAATTTGTTCTATTTGTTTGGGCGTTGGATTTGTAAAGTGATCATATTACTGGATGTATCCGTGTGATTTCATGTGTTTTGCAACAACCTTGACGGTAACTGAGCAAAAAGTAAAGACCAAGGTAATTCTACCAGGAACATGGGTCTAATAAAGTAATTGATCAATTAGCCAAATAAGTAATGTTACAATCGACTTAACTAGAACCAAGTTTATTAATACCAAGTAATTAATATAAACCAATATACGGTTTATGAACATAATACAGGGTGAGTTACTACTAAGTGCGTTAATTTTTACCAACTATTCTACTCACTAAAAGGAACAAAAAAATGCCAGAAAGAATTTTCTAACCCCACCCGT